TTTCGTTCCGTAAGTAATTCCAGCCGATATCAAGGCCCCAATGAACCACTGTATGACTTTGCAATTAGCTATTATCTCGCTACACAAGCGACTAAAAGGCAGCAGTAGTGCAACCCCCGACAGTGTCTCCCGTAGGGACTTACAGCATCCCAAAAGAAACCAAGCACGTAGGATCGCCAGTTTATTGCCACCGATTCAGCGAGAAAAGTCGAAGCACCAACTCCAGCAATACCGCACGCAAGGCCGATGACAACTCTTGCAGCAACGAACATTCCAATGTTCTGGGCTGCCGTCTGGATGATTGCTCCAATTATGCAGAGAATGGCAGACCAAAACATTGTTCTCTTGCGGCCTAGCCAGTCGCAGAGCTGGCCGGCGAAGAAGCCGGCCACTATACCTCCAACCCACACTGAAGCAGTGTTTAAAGAAAGCGTGGTAGTGTTTAAAACGAAATAGTCGGTATACGAAGGAAGAATATTCAGCGCATTCATCATCGATGCATCGTATCCATTCTGGTAAGCCTGGAAGGTGGCCACGAGAAAGAAGAGAACGTTGGTTGTCTTTGGATTTCTGGGTACTAAGCGTCCGACATAGCGCCGACTTCTCCTGGTGGGAACGGGTTCAGACATTTTGATCGTGTGCATGGAAGGTGAATCCCAGATGAAGCTGAGATATCCATGGATAGCAACGTGTCGAGATATGTACCGTACTTCTCGTACGCCCCAGAACTCCATTTTCTCGGTCCTCGGCGGCTTCACTTCCTTATCATGGCATCTGCTTAGCCGCAGGAGCTCCATGCCACATGAGTCCCATGTCCGACAATCTTGATGCTCTCGGTCTAGTAATCTTACAGATCCACAGTATTTCCCTATACAAGCCGTACACTGACTGTTTTTAAGGATTCAGTGCACTGCCTTATCCGCGGGTCGTTCGTTCGGATGCTAATCCAGCTCACTACTTGACTACTAAGCTTGTTCACTACCAGTTGTATTACGTTATAGCACTTTTTTTTCCTATGGGCACTCTATCACCTCGGTTTAACATCGAGGTTCGGACCGTCCATGTCATTAATTGCATTACACTTTATCAAGTACCTATCACTTTATAGTATCAAGTTGTGTTGTCATGTTGAGTTGAACTGAAACTTGAGGATTGGAAGCACAACCGACAGGCATTGAGCCGGAAGTCCCACGGTGCTTGCGCCGCTGTAACCTAGCCAGCAAGGGTCACGCTTGATCACTTCAGAAGATAAGAAGCTGGATGTTTTCTGGCTAAACCTGCTCAGATCGATAGCCTGTCCCCTCCTCTCCCCAGAGCCGATTTCCGTTATCGGTCCTCGAGGCCCGCTCTCTTTGTTATCTGTGGGTTGCCAGGAAGCTAGCCTGTTGCAAAACAGGCGCCGGCATCTCAATTCAACAGTAGCGGTTTGTATCATTGTGGCAGGATCGGTCGATCCTCCTGTGGACCACCGTGACTCCTATGCACCCTTCTTATCGAAAACAAAAGAACAACTTGAACAGTGCTATAATAGTGAGGTTCGATGTCTAATCAAGTCGGATGATCCTCCTTGCCTCGTTCAGGTGTACTTGAAACAAAGCACAAGCCAACGAAGACAGACAAGCTGAAATCATGTTGGCTCAAATGAGTCAATCCTATCTTTGTTGCGAACCCGCGAGGCAGGTCAAGTGTCAGGCCCTTCTATTCGGGTAGCGTCCCGAGATAAGCTCTTGCCACAATAGGCAAGCTTTTGAGGCGTGCATTAGCCTTATATATACCCACCCACGATAACGAATCCTACAAATCAATGTTGAAATACCAGCCCATTGGCCAAGGGGACTCAATGACTGTGTTCCTGTGGTTAGAACGTGCGCTATGCATCAGGAGCTTTAGGAGCAAAGGCCTCAGAGAGCACAGGACGGTTCAAATATCTCAATTACAAGCTATGTTCGGGTTTATTCCACATTCCGACAATGCCCACCAAAATCTCTCTCTGGCCGGCAGGATGGCCCTCTTTCACCCCGCAAGACAATGATCCCAATGATAAATTCCAAATCGACCTCAAAGCAGCAATAATAGCTGAATATGGAGCCGATGTTCTTAAAGAAGCTTGGGTTAAAACATGCAGTACCCTCAACGATGTAACTTCCGCGATTGCTACAGAAGGAAACTCTTATTTACCCGTCTTCAAATACTCGGACGTCTTCTCACCTCACAACGTGGAAATCCTGGAGCAGATGAAAAGCAAAGGGTCATTTATCGTTCGCGATGTGATACCGGAAAAAGAAGCAAGCCAACATTTTGAAGACCTAAAAGGATTTGTGGCGAATAACAAGGAAACAATCACTGGATGGCCAGCGGAGAGCATTGCCATCTACCACTTGTACTCATCTCCTATCCAGCTGAAACTTAGAACGCATCCTCGTCAGCTACGGCTTCAGCGGCTTCTTAATTCACTGTTTACGGACCCGACAGTCTCGGAAGAAGAGCAGATAGCACAAACAGACCCTGTCTTGTATCCAGATGCATTACGAATCCGCCAGCCTGGCCAGGAATTCCTTGGACTGGGTCCTCATATCGATGCAGGGTCTTTATCCAGATGGGCGGATGCCGAGTACCGCAAAACGTATGAGAAGATTCTTTCCGGACTTCCAGAGGAATACGATCCTTTCGACTTGACACACCGGAAGAATGCAAACCCGGGTATGTTCCCTGGCGGAGCACATAGTAGTGTCCTGCGATGTTTTCAGGGTTGGACCGCTCTGACAACTTGCGCACCTGGGGAAGGAGGGTTGATGGTGGTGCCTGATGTCAAGACTGCGACAGCATATATGATATTGCGGCCTTTCTTCAAAGCACCAGCGGAAGGGGACTGGAGAGACCCGAGAAACTGGGAGATGGATAACGAGACCGGTTGGTTCCCAGGCACACTACGTTGGGATTCTCAGTTATTAAGCCCCGTAAGTCACCCCCATCTCCACCTGGAGACTACGCTGGTTAGCATCCCAGTGGTTCACCCTGGTGATACCATTTGGTGGCACGCAGACGTAAGTTTTTGTCTCCCCGTAGCCGCGTGAAGAAGGTGCTTAGAATACCATCAGGTTTGCCACGCTGTCGAAACTACACACAATGGAGCTCATCCTGCTAGTGTGGTCTATATCCCTGCAGCGCCATCGACGCATGGTAACAAGGCATATATAAGACAGTATTGGAAGGATCTAAACTCCGGGACACCGCCCGATGATTACAAGTACCTGGATGGTACTGGCGATAAATTAGTTCTAAGTGAGCAGAATGAGAGAAAGATGATAGGAGCCTTGTCGATTGATACTCTAAGTGCTGAAGGTCGGCGGGCGTTAGGTGAAGGGGTTTAAAGTAAACAAATTGGGTAGTATAATCACACTCCTCGCAGACTTTCATTCCTCTGTGAACATTTCTACTTGAGCTGCATGTCACTGTGTTATTTATTTATAGTAAAAATATATAGCAGGAAGGTACAGCATTAAGCCGGTGTTGCAAAGGCACTCCCGCGTTTTCAGTAGTGCTCTCCTCGTGTTTCCGACTGCAAAACCAGAGAAACCACAGAAGAAAGGGAGAATTCACGTGCCACCTACCGCTCTGGCTCCAGCATCTAGCAGTAGATGAACCCCTACGTAATTACGAATCGCTCGCGCACACTGGAGTAAACTGTGTCCAGATGCGGTAGCATCGTTTACATTAATCCCGGCGTCAATGATTCTCCATCATCACTACGGCATGGTAGAGTCCAGACAACACATCACCGGACCGGATGTCTAGCCAGCCTCGGCGCAACATCAGGGCAACGACTTGCTCGCAGCCCCTGGAACAAGCCACTTTGAACAGATGTTCGTCGTCTGCATCATTACAAGGATCCGGGTCAAGAGTTGCTCCTAATGCAACCAGTGTCTCAAACGCCGCAGCCGAGTCACGGTCCAGTGTACAGCTCAGGGGAGTGTGGCTGTTGGCCTCGCCGTCAGAAGCTCCGTTAGGATCCATCCCCCAAGCTACAAGCTGACCAATGGCCTCACATTTTCCACTTTCCGCTGCACACTGTAGGGCATCACTGTACCAGTTGCTCAGCCGAGATTCGCGCCACGGTCTAGGAGCAGCTGGACCACGGGTACATGCCCACCGGCTGCTGCTCGGATGATAGGTGTAGCTCCCATGCTCGTTCTCTCATTGATGTCATAAGTCATGTGCTCAAGGAGTGTCCGCACTGAGCGTTCTAGGCCACGCTGGGCGGCAAAGTGTAATGGATAAATAGGTCAAGGAGATCATGTAGAACCTTGATCATCCCATCGGCTGTGGGAAAGAATGGCAGATGACCAAGAATGTGTTCTATGCTACCCACCTGGCTACTGAGAACTACATTGTGGAGGTGCTTAATTCCGCTAGAGCGGTGTGCCAGGCTGCGAATGGCGAGTATTTGGTTGTGGTACGTCTTGACCCGGCTGCGAGAAGCAGTATGTACTAGTACATACGATCACCAACACCAGTCTAGTGGGTTCCACAAGCTAATATTCGTGCTATCGGCCTCGTTTTCGAGGAGTAGAGTACAATGAAGCCAATCGTTACCTAGGTAAATAGATAGGTAATGATTAAAGCAACATACGCGGGTCACAAAAATAGAAAATAAAAGGATTAACCTTTCGGGTCTTAACGAATCGGGCCTAGGTTTTCGGGTCACATACCCCGAATATACAGGTCCTCAGGACACCAAAAGAGTGAGTCATACCGGCGCCGGTCAAGACGTTCAGAACAAGGCAAGCCGGCACACAAATTGTTTCGGTATATCAAGGGGACCGCCTCAGAGGGGTGTTCGTATTGGACCATCGCCAGTTTTCCAAGGACATTTAGGTCGAAGTTGAGAGCGCCGGTCGGGCTAGCAGAGCATTGATTGATTGAATTGATTGATTTCAACCCCGTTTAAGTGCCAACGCTTACGACCTATCTTCCTCCCTTCTTCGGATCTCGAACGCGCAATGCCTTCACCTGCTGAGATAAGCTGGATCACCGAGCAGGTCGATTTGCAGCCCGGCGACATACAGAGGGTGTCGATGCGGCAGCCGCTGCCCATCGAGATCGTAGAGTCCGATCCGGCGTGGCCCGCCACATTCGAGCGCGTGGCATCGCGCATCCGGGACGCCCTCGGTCCCGTCGCCGTCTCCGTCTCGCACGTGGGGTCCACCTCGGTGCAGGGCCTGCCGGCCAAGGCCATCATCGACATCGACCTGGTGGTTCCTGACCCGACAGACGAGGCGGCCTACGTGCCCGCGCTGGAGAATGCCGGCTTCCAGTTCCTCTTCCGCGAGCCGAAGTGGTACGAGCACCGCTTTTTCGGGTTACCTGAGCCCTACACCAACCTCCACGTCTTCGGGCCCAGCTCGGCAGAGCCGGTGCGGCACACCATGTTCCGGGACTGGTTGAAGACGCACCCGGAGGACCGCGAGATATACGCGACGGTGAAGCGGGAGTCAGCCGCGGCGAGCCGGAAGGCGGACGAGACTGTGCTGCAGTATAATGCGCGCAAGAATCCTGTGATAAAGGAAATCTACGCGCGCATCTTCAAGGCCTATGGACTACTTCTGGACGACAGCCCGGCAGAGCAGCAGAAGTGACCTTACTGTCATGTTCTCGTGTGTGGCTTGTAGTTAAATTCTAACAAGATTGTTCTAAGTTGTTAAAAGCTCTCTTACTATGGTTGGAAACTAATATACTTAGTACTAGTATTATATAATACTAGTACTAGTCTAGTATTAGTATTTTATATAATAAGGTGCACCCATATAGTGGCCTTATATAACGATTTTTCTTATCAATACGTCGATAAATAACTAAAAGTCCTTAGGTTTATATCCTAAGATAGATCGAAAGATACTTAAGCAATATTCATAAAGATAGATGATTATAATTGATTAGATCTAATGATTATAAAATCAAACTATAATATTGAAAATTAAAAAGCTACTCTTTTTATCTTTAAGCCTATATTTATAAATATAGTTTTATATAAAATGATAATATATTAAATTATTAAAATCTTTTATAATCTATAATCTATAGTTTATTAATAGTCTTTACCTTATTTTTATATAATTTATTTTTATATTATTTATCTATTATAAGATTCTTAATAATAGCTTACTTTTTAGTTATAATATAATATTTCTTTTTTAAAGTTAATATTTTAAAGACTTAGTTAAATATCTAAATATTATTTATTTAATAAATTTTAAAACTATCTTTTTTATTTTATTAAAATACTAATATTATGTTAGATTATATAAAGAAATTAAAACTAAAATTAAAAAAATCTTTAATTTAACTTACTTATATTATTAATATTAAACTTTCTAAAAATCTAATCAAAATACTTTATACTTATTATTTTAAACAAAATTTTATTTATTATATAATAAATAACTCTTTTTATTATTTTAAGTATATTTATTTAAATTGTTTTTATAATAATATCTTTATAGTCTTTATCTTTATATAATTAACTTTTTAATAAAATAAAATTAAATAAGAAAAGATAGATACTAAAAAAGTACTTTTTACTCTTTAGATATAATTATCTATAATTATCAACTATCTAGGTTATTTATGTTATATAAAGAAGATAATATTTAAGAAATATTTTAAAGCTTTTTAAAGAAAGATATAAAAGTTAAATAAAAAAGATAGAATAATTCTTTCTATCTTTACTTAAGAATAGTTTAAAATAGATAATCTTTATTTATTAAAAATTTCAAATAATATAAACTAATCTTCTTTAAGTTTAAATAATAAGTTTACTTTTATAAGTTTACTAATAAAAGATTTTAATAAAATTAGATAACTAAATCAAACTAATTTTATAAATATTTAAAAAGTTCTTATATACTTTTTAAGTTATTATAGTCTTATTATTTGATTAAATATTATATTTATTATCTTTTCTTTTATAAATCTAGGATTTTTTTCTATTTTATATTTTTAATTTTATTTTATTTTAATATCTATTTAAAGTTTTATAGATTTATATACTGGTTTTAAAAGTAATATATAAAAAATAAAATATATTCTTATAATATACTTATATAGTAAGTAGGCTAATAAACCAAAATAAGCTACTTTTATATACTATACTACTTTTATATAAGTTATTTCTACCATAATAACTTAAATAAATTAAAACTACTTAGAATCTTTATCTTTAGACATTTTTATATCTAATTAACAGATTTATATATTATAGCTAGACTTTTTATAATTACTATAATATTGAATGTACTAGTAATCCTTCTTTATATAACCCTCTCTTTTACTTATATTTATTTTATCTTTTATTATAATAATAATCCTTTTTAGTAAAAATAATTTTTTTTAACTTTCTAATATTTACTTAATACTTTATTTATTATCTAAAGATTTTAATATAAATCTTCTACTTTATTAAAGTTATTTTATATATAATCTTCTTTATATCTTATATAAAAGTATCAATCTTATTATAAATATATATTAAAAAGCTATTTTAATGATAAAAGATTTTATTTTAGATTAAAGTTATTTAAAAAGTTGTTTTAATTAAATTATTTAATGTTTATCTAATCTAAGTAAAGATAATATTAGGTTATAAGCCTTAAGATATAATTAGTTGGTAATTAGTAGTACTAAATTTAATAATACTATAAATATAGTACTACTAATACTAATACTATAAGTTATATAAGATATATAATACTAAAATCTCTTAAAACATTAATAACGTTCTAAATATTAAAGTTATACTATTTTTTAACTTAATATACCATTGAGAATATAATAATCTAAATTATAAAACTCTTTTTACTTTTATATTACTTATATTCGATTTTTAGTGATGATTTTAAGATTGGTTTTTTTAAAAGTGCTAATTATAACTTTTAAAACAATACTTTCTCAAAATTACTACTAAAAATCTAGTTTTTAACCTTTTTAAACACTAATTTTAAATAACAATAATATTCTTATACTACTATTAGTATTATATTTATTTATTAGTATATTACTTATATTCGAATTTTAATAATAGATTTAAGTACTTTTTATAAATATTTACTATTTTTAGTACTATAGTAAGCTTACCTTCTATTTTTAACTATTTGCTAACGTATTTAACTACTAATCAAATAATATATAATTACTATTATTTCCCTTACTTTCTCTTTAATCTTCAATTATAACGATTATAATTCTCACAAATCAATCA